TCTGTCAACGCTGTAAGCCTTACCTACCTATCATTTTGTAACAATAATAATGCTAAGATGAGCAAAATAGGAGCCTCAAGTGCGCTTCGAATCAGCGATTTCCCTTTCTGCGAACTCGCACGTCATCCACTGCACCGACCGAGGCGCTTGCTCAGCCTTTCTTCCACATAATTTTTTTTTACCATAACTAACATTATTATCAGTAAACACCCGTTAACGAAAATAATCTAGGGTGTCTAAATTGGTATTAAACCTAGTTAAAATAAAACCCTATTCAAAATAATAATGTTTTTCACCGCCCATTCCTTCTCCATAGCAGGGTATTATATAAAATACACAATTATAGTGATGCTGAGTATGATTTCAACTTCAGCCTCAGTTCAGCTATTCAATGGCGATTTTTGCACTCCAGATCCTTCTCGCAAAGTAAAGAGCTGGTTGAAAAGGGGAAAAGCAAAGGGTTCGATTGGTGTGATGAATAACATGCGAGTCCCCGAAAAGGGTAAACGCGAGTGATTCGAAATTGGCTTAAGATTCTGAGTTTTACTCGTTCCCAGCATCATTTTGGTTAATGTTTGCGGATGGATGGCGAGGTCTTAATGAGAAGAGCGGTTGATCGCCTTGCCTGCTGCTTTAGGCTCTTTCTCTTCTTCGTCAAAAATGTCGTCAAATGGTGGTCGATCCCTTCGTATCTAGATATCTAGATAGGTATAATTGTTAGCGTGTCTTCAATGATGATAACCATTGAGCGATTTACTCGTTTTCATGCATAGTTTACGAAGGTACATCATCAAATAACGCTTGTTGAATTTGAACGAAGTCGAGCACTCTGTGTGAAATTAACAAGTAACAACCACGGTGTTAGGTATGTCATGGTGTTACCTTCAACTTCATTCAAAGCATGGATTTCGTCATGTTCTGCAGAATATTTTCTTCCCACTACTAGCTAACATCTAGCAGAAAATAGAGCGAACGATAAAGCAATTCAAGAGTCATCAAACAGTTATGAAGAAGAGATTAAAAGCAATGAAACAAATAGGCTAAAGAATTCGAAGATTTTGTGAGTGGCCGAGGGCACAACGACCAGTTTAAGACCGTCGACTCTGATCAACACAGCTCTGAAGACGGCGAAGGCACCGAAATGTTAGCCCAGTAAAATTTTATATCAATCTCATACCACCTCAATCACGTAGAAAATTATTAAGGTTGTAGCCTAGTTTTAATGGAAGTCAGTTTCTAAGATCTTTTGAACGAATCGAAAGCACAAGCCTTTACTACCGCTTCTTCTGGCTCGGTTGACTGTTTCGTCACTAAACAGTTTTCACTGGGGAGATTTGCTCCCACTAACTCTCAAAAAGCTTTGTGCCGAAGCTTGGCGTCCAAGTAACGTTATGGCAAACTGCTCAGTTTTCGAACCAGTTCTGCTTCGATAACTGTACAAATATTCTAAATTTCATTTCTTACTAGATAACAGTTTGAGCTCTCTCTCTCGTCTCATCTATGCCATTCCATTTAGCGGCTTGCAGTATTCTTCCTATGAACTTCAAGATTGTTCATCCAAAACACACTTTTACCAATTTTCTGTCGAAGCCAATACTCGAAAAGTGAAGCGATCGAAGCTAGATTTCGTACTACAAGAATTATGGGATCTCTCATTGCCACTGACGTTTTCAGCTATCGTTACAAATTGAAATTCCTTTCTGGATATTTAGAAAATCTGAATTTCAATAAAGTTCAAAATCTGAATACAATTTTAGAAAGAACCTTTGTATCGCTAGCGTGATACAGCAAAGAATCCTTTATAGGTACATCAAGCACACTGTTCAGGGAAAAACACGCAGGAACTGGCGATTTAGGTTTGGTACTTGTCTAGGCGAATAGGAGCACTGACTAATATACCAGTGAGCTACCACAACTATTGGCCACATATCCATTCAACCACCTCTACAATATCTCAGATACTCGAATGTACGACGTATCCCAATGAAATTGACCAATGTGCAATGATTTATCTTTTGTTCCTTTTACTACATAACCTGACATCACACTGTATATATCCTCCAAGCTCTTGGATTCGATTCCTTTCCTCGTATTTACCATTTACGAAGCCTTTCAAATTCCTTTTTTTGCGTAAACATTCACGTGCAACATGAGGATTTATTCGCCTTCCTCACGATTGTTGTTTAATGATGATCGAGTCGATTTCCACTGGATTCGTGGGATAGTCGCGTTAGGGCGTTCTCACTTGCTTAGAGAGAACCAGCTTCACACAGAGTTCCCGTATTGATTTCCTGATCCCGGAAAGATGAAAGGCTTGTTGAACCCGATACGGAATCCTGCATCTAGGTGGACTGAACCGGTCAATCTGGAGAACCAGATCAATTTCACTGCGCTAACCGCTAAAGCTGATATGTGAATGAAATACTGTAGCGAGGAAATTAGGCCTCTTTCAGCATGAAATCGTTGCTCGAGGTACTGTATACAAGAAAATTGCATCGATATTACGAGCTTATTCGAATACTTGAATGGCTCACGGTATTTATCACATAGGGCTGATGCTATTCACCGTGGAACGAAGAAAGGTTTACAGCCTTGTGACTGAATTTCTCTCACGAGGGTGGCTATTATTGGAATTGGTTTACTCTGAGCTGAGTTTAGTGACACAAATGTTGAAATGCTAAGTTTCGATAACCTCAAGGGGCGGCCGCTCACTCCGCTTCGCGCTTCGATCTCCTAAAACACTTTGTCACATCGAAATTTGCCACTTACTTATTCAATGAAACAACGAAAAATAACTTGATAAAACAACTAATAATCTAAACCTCGTAGCTGAAATAGCAATGCCTCATAACCTAACGTTCTTTAAGTAGAAAATAACTAAGCAACAACGTAAACTAATGTACAGGTTTTCTCTTATGAAGGCGTTCTCACTCAGCTTCTCCTAAATTGTTCGTAGCACACTGCAGAGGATTATTACGCAGATGCAAGACCTGAGTTTCATTTCCGGCATCCGCAAAGCAGTGGCGTTTTGCAATTTCCACTCTACTTCCGCAATTTTTGAATGGGTCTAGAAACAACGGAAAAGAAATAAAATATTGGGAAACAAATACGAAAACCTGATAGCGTGACAAATTTGCCATTCTTGTTTGCTTTTTCCGCTTCTAATCAGGTTTTGTCACGTTCCCTTTCCAAAATTCCCACATTAACTTGTTAAAGGCCACAGCCATCATTTTCCAGTTATATATTTCTCACTTAGCCTTCCTTGTCTCTAGGCCAGCAAATTATTACCAGAGTTGTCTGGGAGGATAGCAGCAATAACCTGATACATTACGACGTCACTAAAGGCGCTTTATGTAACTAAAAAACTATATAAAATTCAACTTTATTGCCTTCCAGGAATGAATCCTGCGGTTTACATTTCAGTTCGACACTCAGGAACATCCATAGCCTTGATGAGGCGTCAAATCTTTGGAACGATAGATACAAAGATAACTCGAAAGACCGACTTTCTATAAACCTCGGCATAGACAGTTGATATATTTACTTATATGATCTTATAAACTGATATTCTTAAGCTGACGAAAGCTTGGTATAGGATTTCGTTGTCGTTGCCGTCGTTTTTGATGTTATTGATCGACGGCTGACGTTCCGGCGACTTCGCCTTCCTCAGTGTCTTCAGCGAGACACTGTACAAAATATCACGGAACACGAACTTTATCCAATGCCACCTTTTTGACTTATAAGGACTTCAGTGGAATTCAAAGAACATGAAAATGTGAACCTTTAATATTTGAATTCTCGCACATCATTACTGGCTGATGCTAATTCTGCTAACTCAAGAGCACAGCGCAGTAAGACAAGAATCCATGAACACAACAAGACTCATCCAAATCTCTACAACATAGACGGTCATATAGGGGGTTACGAACTAGCTGGCGCTTAAGATTACTCGGTGGTATTTCAACTACTCTCACCGAATTCTCTAAGCCCGCCCTTCTTAAGCAGCGTTTTATAGCTGTAGTTATATCATTTGAGATGAAGGGTAGGATAAACGGGACCCTTCTATCGCTAGAGTTGTCGTTTGGAGGCCTACGATTTCCTCTACACCTATTCTGAGCTACAGTTTCGTAGCCATTAGAAACGGCTATTTGCCGTGCCAAGTTCCGGGACTCCTCTCTCTGCTCTCTTCCCGTGCACACGTTGGTTGTTGTTCGAAACATGTTTCTTATAAGCGCCCTTTTCGTGTGAGAAGGGTGAGAGGAGAGGTAGTGAACCAAGATATTTTTACTACTTGGCTTTCGGTACCACTTTGTAATGTAGCCATTTTCTGATAGGTGAATTTGTACGTTCAAAAANTCTGCTAACTCAAGAGCACAGCGCAGTAAGACAAGAATCCATGAACACAACAAGACTCATCCAAATCTCTACAATATTATTTGCATTTAACAAAAGCTTACATATCCGTAAAATATTCTGCACTGAGGTGGCTGAAATGCCATTCTTCGTAATTTTGTTGAGCAAACGCGAGGTGTTATTATTCTTTATTCACGATTAAGCTGACGTTTCGGCGGATTTCGCCTTCCTCAGAGCCTGGAAAGGTCAAGTTGATAGCAATCTACTCGGCCAGACACCTCCATAACCAAACAAGGAAACTCTAAACCAAGATTTCAATCACATTGAACACAGCTTTGAACACTCACCGCTTCCTATGAGGTTTCCACTAAGTATGTCACGTAGAGACCAACCGCACAGAAATCACATGGAAGTATAACGTGCCCCTCACATCAGAAAAGTAGTTTTATATACTGCCCTATATCACGCTTGATAATGAGGCATTCTTCCCTGCGGTTCATTTTCGGATTTCTGGAATTAATCCAGAGTGCCTCGAGAGTTTTTCGCGCCTGTGTTCTTGATTCGCGTGCGAGGATCGTGACACATGCTTCGAAGTCGTCCCCGTTATGTCCCTGGGTCCTATGCTTGCCTAGCGAGGTATTTGGTCTATGTTTGCCGGCATTGACTCCGCAATGCAAGCCATATTCGAACTCTTTACACAGCACGAAGGAGAAATAAACATGTATGGCTTCAAGATAGAGCACCTGATGGCACTATTAAAAGAATGCTTGAGCTGCTCAATCTTCAGATGGTCCGGAAAGTACTACGCTCAAATAAGAGGGTTGGCAATGGGACAACGACTGGCTCCAAGCCTTGCCATTGCATTTATGTCTAAGGTGGAAGCACCGGTGACTGGTCTCGGCCGCTACTCTACTGTAGGTATGTAGGCGACTGCTTTGTCCTTTGCTCAACACAAGAGGAAATGGACAAATCTTTCGAATTGTTAGAGAAGGGCGGGCTTGGAGAATTCGGTAAGCGTAGTTGAAATACCACCGAGTAATCTTAAGCGCCAGCTAGTTCGTAACCGCCTATATGACCGTCCATGTGCAACTCAAAATTGCATAATTTGCCCCAATGGTAGAGACGGTGATTGCATGAGCTCGGGTATAGTTTATCTGATCTCCTGTAAGACGTGCGGTGACGAATACATTGGCGAAACGGGTAGACCCCTCTGTGTCCGCATAAAAGAACACCTAGCCGGCAAACATAGACCAAATACACCGCTAGGCACGCATAGGACCGAGAGACATAACGGGGACGAGTTTGAAGTACGTGTCACGATCCTCGCACACGAATCAAGAACACAGGCGCGAAAAACTCTCGAGGCATTCTGGATTACTTTCAGAAATCCGAAAATGAACCGCAGGGAAGAATGCCTCATTATCACGCGTTATATAGGGCAGTATATAAGACTGCTATTCTGATGGGAGGGGCACATTGTACTTCCATGTGATTTCGTGCGGTTGGTCTCTACGTAACATACTTAGTGGAAACCTCATAGAAAGCGGTGTGTGCAAAGCTGTGGTCAACGTGATTGAAATCTTGGTTTGGAGTTTCTTTGTTTGGTTATGGAGTCGTCTGGCCTGGTAGATTGCTATCAACTTGACCTTTCCAGGCTCTGAGGAAGGCGAAATCCGCCGAAACGTCAGCTTATTCGTGAATAAGGAATAATAACACCTCGCGTTTGCTCAACAAAAATACGAAGAAAGCTAAACTCATTTCATGCAAGGTATCCCTACACCTTCTTTAGCTTCGTCTAAACCAGTTGTAACATCGATATCGCTGAAGCACTCGTTTACACAACTTCAGGCATTGGTCTCAATAGAAGTCAAGATTTCCTGGCTCTCCATCGAATAACAAATTCTTAAAATAAACACTCAGACCGCACAATTAAGGAAGTCGGAAGCAAAAAGAGGTAGTCCAATCGAAAACAGACGATGAATGTCAGAGGACTATATCTAATTTCGCTGATCACTACCTGTTCTCCTGTAGTGCTTCTTCCACCACCTCTTCTACTTTTCCAAAAGAAGACCAGCGGCCCTTTTTCATCACGTTCAATCTGATCATTGGCGCAAAGCAACTGAATTAGTGAACTCAGAAAGCAGGAGTTGGCAATGAAATAGTGTGGTTTTGCCTGTAGGACTACACGTACTTGTGCTGGCAGCTGAAATATAGAAGAGTTCCAAACGTTGAACAGCAAAAGAGGGCACTAAACATAAGATGTCGCGGCTATGATTAGATCAAATATTCAAACTTACTATCTCGAGATGAAACGCCTTCTTACACTCATCGCCATAAAAATCGTAAGCTTCTTGATTTCACTGTTGATAGCAAAAATCGCTTCATCGTCTTTCCTTGCAGTGTTCTGATATCGACTTAGGACATTTCGACCTCACTCGAATGCAAACGAACCCATAAAATACACGTGCATGTTGAATTCCTGCAGATGCGAATTTCTGCACATAATCAAAACTGTTTACAAATAAAAGGAGAGTACTAAAAGAACATGCGTCATGACAGACAAAATTCCTGAATAATCGAGAATTCCTGAGTAATCGCGAACAATAGGAGTAACACGGGTAGGAAGTGAAAGATCTACTTGTTGTGAGTAAGCAGTCATCTACATCGCTGTCGCAATCAGATCCGATAAGATCGTTGAAATAAGACCAAACTCTTCTCCGAAGTAAGGATACAGAGTCACACCATCAAATTTTAAAAAAGACCCTGGCGATTTGCGACAGCAGGATTCTTTGACGAAGGCCACTCACTGTTGCAGATACGAGCCTCTACGAAGAAAAAAAAGACAGAAAAGTGAAATAAACCGTCCACATCCTCAGAAAATAACAGAATCGTCACCAAAAAATAATAAAAAAAAAACTTAAAACCTAGAAGAGATATATGCATTTCAATGTAAACCGTCAATATTCACCCCATATGATGGAGTTTATTATGCATATACAAATCGTATATGACTAACACTATCGTGAATGTGTTGGAGGCATCACCAGACAACAGCAACATATCTCAGTACAGTTTACTAAAAGAAAGGTTCCAATTCACGTGTTATATGCTCTCCCATTAACTCGCCTAGTGTTTTGGTAACGTAGTCCCTTATAACCCACAGGGCATCCGCAGACATACCCGCGGGTCTGAATAATGAATGATCCAGTGTTAAGGCAAGTTCTAAACAGTAAGACCAAAATGTGCCAGCAACTTCGAAGGAGGTTTTGAGAAAACAGCAATAACATTCCAAACACTCGACGAATACTCAAAAGCTGCGCAGCTGAACACATCTCAAAGCGTTTCTCACATGTAGTTCTTTTGAGTCCACGTTAACACACGTGGCACCGTTTTCACACGGCGACAGTAAGCATTCGTTGACGTCACAATTCATCAAAGACCAAGGGCAAGCATTGCATGTCTGACCGACATGGGTTGTTGACATCTGCAAGAAAATGAGAGAGCCCAGAGGCATAAGAGCACTCTTTTCCAAAAAGTGCGCTAACGTATCTGAGCGAAACAACATGATGGATTTAAAAATTACTATAACCACCGCCTAGTTAACAATACAAATCAAACATCCACGATACGTTTACCATATTCACACGCATACGGACGACACGAATCGATTCGGTCTTCAGCGCTGATTGCTCTGAATAACATCACCATTAGTAAACCGAACAGACGAATACGGGGACACAAACTGGAAATTTGGTCTGGATGATGCGTTTAGCCAGAACAATGAAATAAAAAATGCCTGCTAAATATCGCGAAAATAGCACAACTAAGACATTCCTATAACCTCAAACAAAAGAAAGGTATGTTACAAAACTAAACCTCAACGTCGTCAATCAAATTCCTTCAATAACGAAAACCACGTGGCTCTGTGCTAGCCATTGGCACAGTAATAAATAATAGAAAAAGCAACAAACATAACTCAGCTGATTATAGTCTAACCTAGAAATGCTCCGTCGATAACGTAATTGCTAGAAAAATAACGCTAAGAGATTTTAAAGAACAAATTAGATAACTAACATAGGAATTACGGAACTGACAATTACTTTCAGCATGATATCGAAGGTGGGTTGATATAGACAGAGACGACAGATTTTTAGTAAGGAAAAACGAGAAACCCGCAGTTACTGCTTTGCACTGATCACTTCGCTGTAGAAATGATTTAGATAGAAAGATGAAAGAATGCTCATGTTGAGGAAGTATTTATGAGCTTCTAGTGCGGAATAACAATCAAAACCTAAGCCAGAAAACCTTGGGACCTTTTAAATTACAATAGTGATTGTTAGCATTACGCATAACCACTAATCTTTTTGTGACCATGGACATAAGAGGAGAATAGCACAAAGTCACTGCAATTGTTTTTCAATCGTCTAGAATAGGTCGACCAGGTAGCCTACGCTTGATTTCCACCATCGTGGTAACCTAGTAAACTGATGTCTACTAATGAACCAATTGAGTGGTTCCGAATCGTGCGAAACCGCTAAACGTAGGTGATAACAAGCAATTAATATGTAAATGTATGAACACTTGGAACTACCGCCGAGAATCGACGTGTGTTTTCCAGTGAGCGACAACGTCCCCTCAGAAGTACACTTTTAAATCCACGTCGTACAGTTAAGGGAGATACTTCATCAATAATTTGACGTACATAGTGCGAAAATGTGTATTCAAACTCTAGCGATGAATTTACTTGGACGGTCCGTCTTCACGAGTTGTGCGGACCCCAGCACATTTGCCACTCGTTTCTTTCTCTCGTAATCGTGGTAAATAGTGGTGGTCTCGTTCGAGCATGGCAGCGCGTGCGAGTCTCATACCGCGATCTGTAGAACAACTGCAGCTGCGGGTACAGGTGATTAACTTTGTTTACGAATACGTCCGCCCAACGTGTAGGTGGTCGTCCTAGGGGACGTTTGCATTCTCTTGGAGTCCACTCTACTGTTCTTTTCGTGCATATGTCGCCTGTTCTTCTCATTATGTGACCGGCCCATCTGTTTCAGTATCGATATATATTCTCCTGGATCACGAAGATGTGGCAGATTTTGAAGGTCAGAGCTTAACATTCCCGTTAGATATTGAGAGTGCTGGTTACATTTCAGGAGACACCGCTCAAGCGCTCTGTGATTAGTGCGAAGCATTGTTCACGTGGTTGAAGTATCAACCCACATCTCTGCAGCATAACAGAGCGCTGAGAGGACCGCGCATAATTCCGGGTCCTTGTGAGTTTCAGCTGTCGTTCCAAACGCCATCACAGCATCTCCAGATGGCAGTCGTTCATCAGTGGACGCTAACTAGAACAGAACGAATGTGTCACTGTGAAACAATTGAGTAGAGCAAATAGGCAATTTCAAAAAGTGGGGCCCTTGCAAAAACCTTACTGAAAAGTGTTACAGTACTTAACCTCCCAGCGGCTTGTAGCCTCATCGTGGCTGGGAGGTATTCCTAGGTGTCAGGCTGACATGTACAGAGGAGGATTCGTCTCCCAGTAGGGTCTCCCAAGCTGAGAAGGAGCCCGGCGATTTCACCCGGAAGACCAGCTAAGAGTAAACTAACGCTAGGATCCACCATCTTGGTATCAAACTACCACCATCTTGGTATCAAACTAATCGCATAGTGGAAAATCTCCCTCTGATACACAGGGATGGCGATTGCCTGTGGTGGTAACGACCTGGGGCAGCCTGTGGCCAGGCCGACATCGGGACTGTAGGGAAACACAGACGATAAGCCAGGAAAACACAGAAAGAGCAGAACGCAAAAATTGAAGACAAACTTTTGTAGGAGGAATGAAATCACCGTAGTCGTCATGTCTTCCGTACCTTAGCGGCGGTATATCATACGATGTTGAGAGATCTACTTAAGCAGCATGAGCCCGATC